TGGTGCACTCCATAAGCGAATTGCGTCTTCTTTCTAATTTCTCAAGATCCGTTTGCGTCACTCCTGAGGTAGCGCTCAGAAACGGCAGCGCTTCGATCGCTCTTCGACGCGATCGATATAGCAGAATTCATGCACATCGACCGCACCGAACGCGCAACCGAAGCACTGCCGTCGTGAAGTCTAAACGCTGTCTAAAATAAAACTGAGTCAGAAAATCTCCATAAGCAGAGTTCCTCGACAGTTGTCGCTAATGTACGGGGGCTTTAACATGTTTTGGACAATGGGCTTGACTACTGCGAAATATTGGTAAAGTTGCACATGCGGATGGTACGTAATCACTCACTAGGTGGAAGTATGCGGCAATCAATGAACCAGCTATTATATCCATGATGTCAATGATGCCGTTGAAAAACATCAAGCAGTAACAGGGTGTCTTCAGTAGTCTACCTCGGAGCATTCCAATCAAACAAATTACGTAAAGTGTCTGAATGCAATGTCATAACATGAACTACTTGACATCATTTACCATCACACAACCGCCTTCTAAAAACGGAAGACAGTAGTGAGAAACAGGTGAGATATTCATATCTCACCTGTTGTCTCTCTGTCTCTTGTTCCTAGTGTGCTGAATGGATTCCTGAGAGGGGATAATGAGATTATTCACGTTAAAGTCATCCTCACCACAAAAATTGCTCCTGATACTGTAAAGTAGATTCCTTGCACTTCATTGACCGAACCTCTGCTTTCCCATTCAGCTTGTGAACGACCGCTGCAGTTGTATTCTGACTCATTGATAATCCAAGGAAGATTCAAATAAAATAAGCCCATTCTAGAACGAGCTACAGTTCGGTTTTCAGTGTTTTTGACCTACAACAATTAAATCAAATAGGAGGCAAACAATATAGAAGCAATATTAGCACGTTCGTTTATTATTCATACATCATCGTAATTCCAAGCGGCAGCTTAAACGGCTATCTCTAGTAAACGAAAAGACGAGTGGTACTTCGTGAAATGGAGCTGTCCGTACGACCCCAACTCCCGAACATTCTTCTTCTTGGTTCGATTCTTCCTAAGGCTCCTCATCTTTCAGGATCTCCCTCCTTCCCATATTCCCTGACAGCTTGACGATTTCTTAATTTCTTATCGCTTTCCCCACCAACCAAGTAGACACCGAGAAACTTTCTCTCATTCCACAGTACCCTAAAGCAGGCCTCTTCCCAGCAAAATA